CGTGCACTTTTTTCATTTTATGTGCAAATAAAAAGTTATACGCTGCACAACTATTGGCGAGTTCACTGCATTTTGGCCACATCAAATTTTATATGCGCTCATGTTTGCCTATGTGTGTGTGTGTATGTGTGCATGTGGCTGTCGTTGTGCTGAAAACACATGTAAAATCACACCCGTAAAAGCATATTAGCACATAAACTCACGCATGAACACAGGCTGTATGAGAGCTTACACAACTTTTATGTTGAGGATTTTGCATTGCAAGAAAGTTGGTGGCACTCCAACCCTTTAGGAAAAGTTTTGTGCAGGCGTAATAAGTGACTTAACCAATGTTCATGCTATTTTATGAAATAATAAAATTTTTTAATATTTTTCATCCAATATTAACGCATTTAAAGCTGGCATTAAGCCTTTTAATTTTTCCTTAAATGAAAACTAGTACGCAGTAGTTCGCACTTTTTGTAGGAGTAGAATGGTTAGTTGTGTGAAAGTTTCAGACATTTTTAGATTAGAAGTAAGCAAGCGTTTAAGAATACCTTATTACTGCAAGAATTTGCTTAAAAACTGTGATGTGTCTTTGGTGTGACTGCGTTGCGGTTTTTTAATGTACTAATTAGCAGGCACTACAAGATTCGGCACTAATTTTCACGACCTTAAGGTTACATTTAAAAAGCACAGATTTTGAATTTTAATGATTATTTTCTCAATTTTACCAAAATCAAAAAAAATTAGGGAAAGTGCAATTTTTTCTTTATCTAAATATGCTATAGTTGAACTAAAAATGAAAAACTACCCAGACTAATGTAATCGCTGTGCCTTGCTCTATAAAAATTAAATATCGACCACTAGTTTTACAAAAAAAAAAATACTCTTTAGAAATATATGATGCTAAATGATTGATATTCGAATCTTACTTACAGCAAATTAACATTTTAAATTTTTTTAATTTTCTTTAAACGGTATCGCTGATGATATTTCAAAATTTGTTATGCCATTTTTTGTTTTACTTTGATTAGTCTTTTTCTTTGCTAAGTTTGCAGTTTGTTTCCAAATAAGTTTTAGGTATTACGATTGTTTATGGGCTTACCTTACTGTTCTCAACTCAATATGCCTGACAATATGTTCATAGGATGTTTACAAAAATAATTTGGTAAACGAAAAATTAAATAGGTATGTTTAACTATATATATTTTAGTTACTAGAATTTTACTAAGAATAATTCTAAAAGTTCATAAATAAAAAATTATAGTTTATTTTAAAATAACAGTTTTTTTTAAGTTATTTAGCCGATTTCTACCTACACAAATGTGAAAATTACAATATAGATAAAAAATTTTGAATTATCCATATAAGAAAGTAAGTTTTATGTACAATTTTTTTATAAGAGTTGCTAAAGGGGAAATTAAATAAATAAAGCTGGTATAAAAAATATGAATTTTTGTTCCAATAGCCGCACGTATAATGGTTTTTTGATACAAACCCAATGAAATTACCAAATTTACGATAAGCCACTCAAACAAAACCGAAACAATAGATATGCATACATTGCAAAACCAAAAAATATTTAATTAAGCAAATGAAGTCATGTACTGCAAGCTTGTATGGAACAAATATTCACTCATTTTCATGCTTCAAAAATTAGGAGTTTACCCACAAGGAATTCGACTATGCACTTCCGCATACCAGAGTGTATAGCTATGTACTATTTGTCTTTGATTCCTTTACGCAAAACCATTCGCAAACTCTTACACATCGCTGCTATTACGACTAAAACCAGCATCTTAATGTTTGCCAGCAGGTAAAATGCAACCTTACATAAAAATAACGCTACGTTCTTCAAGCTCAAGCACACAGCAGCTACCACAGTGCCATTTAGATATGTTTAAGTATGAGTAACAAATACATGTCTCTTTTTTGCAGCAATTTTATATATGTTTGCAAATAGTCACCGGTTCAGTTCGCTTTTCATGAGATTGTTATGCGCCAAAGATTTTATGTAGACATGAGTAGCAATGCATATGTTGCATGCATTTACGACATGCACCTTTGACTATTTGCACCGTGAGGTGAGCGCGCCGTGACTTCTATTTAATAGTGCCAACCAATTTTATATTGTGTGACTTTAAAAGTAAGTCACCAAAGCCAGGGGATTTTATTTATAAACATCCAGAAATAATAGTACATATAAAATGTATACATCGCGACGGATTAAAAGATCGAATGTAGCCTAGAATATATTTATTTGAAAATTGCAAAGTGTGGGAAATATTGCAAATAATAACAGGGTGTGAAAGACAAAAGTTAGTTTATATACATAGAAATGAGTTTGCTGATATTTAAAGTGAATGCTTTAAGTTATATCCTAGAATCACGTATCAAGTGTTTGAGTGAAGTTTCCATAAAACATAATAAAATGCGATGCCGAGAAATACCTATAAAGAGGTCTTAAACAGTTGACTGTTGGATATATATTTTTTTATATATAAACGTTTTTTATTTCTCACACAGCACCTGTTTTACTTGCTCTCCTCAAGCCTCAATGTGATGAAATTCACTTAACTTTTTAAATATTCCGACAAATCAATATGTCAAATAATTATATTACAAACCCAAAATATATCTCATAAGACTTTTATTAAAATTAATATTATTATTTTAATCATATCAGAAACAAATCATTATTATTTCTGAAATCAGACTATTTATTGATTAGGAAGATATCCAGGTGTTGTGTTCCTTACCTTACAATGAAAATAATTTTATATCCAGTTTGGACTAAATCCATGCCAGGCCTTAATTTTGCATATTTGAAAAAACCTCTAGAGACTTTACTTAAAGTTTTGTGATAAGTATAACCGTTTATTTATTGTTTCAACTGAGCATTGTGCAATAAAAATTATTCACCTTCATAAAAACTTGCCTTTCTCCAATATAGCTCCACTATTGTTACTTCACCTTTTTGCTTTATCCTTAATCTTCGTTTTTTGTTTCTCTCACCTTTTTCTTTTGCTTATTTAAAATACTTTTGACTGCTGTTTTAGCTTTAAATTGTGCGGCTATATGGCAACGCTTTTACTTTTGTCCTGCAATCTGTTTGTTGGCGCCTATTTATAGTTGTGTTGTCTGTTGTTTGTGAGCATATCGCATTTAAAAAGTTTAGCCAAGTGAAAGTTTTGTTTTGTTCCGTTTCGATAGCCTGGCCAAACTTCGATGCAACCATTTTTTTTTTTTTTGTAGCAATTGCAAAGATTCTCGTTACTTAGGTCAACATCTTTCTTAAACTTTGCAGGTTTCTGTTCTGCGATTGTAACTAGTTTTTAATACAGTTGGATATAATTAAGAGACAATATCTTAGCGAAGCTGTTAAAGACACTTTCTTTGGCGTTATGGTACATTCATAGAAAGCTTTTTCTACATAAATACCAAAATATTTATGATATCGGATTTTTAGTATGGATCTTACAATTTTTTTCACCCCTAATGCTACCAATTACTATTCTTATAATTCACATCACGAAACATCATGATCGCGAAAAGCTCATATACATTTCCAAATGTTCGTATTGAAGGACACATTCTGAGGTATGTCCAAAGAAGTCCTAAAGTAGTTTTAAAGACAATTTTATGAGGTTCTCCAGAAATTTCATGAGAATTTACTCATGGGTGATAATTAGAGTCTCGATTTCTGTTCTTCACCTTCACCTTCAATTTTTTTAGTAATTTATAATAAAAAAAAAATTCGAATTGAAAAAATTTAAATAGTAGCAATGTATGTAGGAGTCGCTTTAAAAGAAATAAAGAATCCAGATTTTTAATGGAATTACTGAAACTAACGAAGTGTGTGGTAAATTGACTTCATTGAGAAGCCAGAGAAGTAGCCAAAGCAGTGGCAATCATCTAAGAGGTTATTGTTCATATGTTACATATTTTTACTTATTTTATATTACTGTAATAAAGTAGAGATACATTTCTACCTGAAGTAAAACAATCAAGCGCTCGATCAAAGAATTGAATTGACATATATATTCACTAACATCAGACAATATTTACTGTGCAAGCAGACATATACCATATTAAAATAAATTATTGTTCATATCAGCTAAATGGATTTTTAATTGTCGACTTTGTAGCGACAATTCCACTTTCTTCTACTAATTTCATATATCATTAGCAAGTCATACATATATATGTGACACATACACATAAACAATTCGAGGGTCATACCATATGCTTGAATACTGTTCAGCATTTATGGCAAGAACATATATATAAATACATATATATTTATATACATATGTACAATAAAAACAAACATTTGCGTTGAATTCACTAAGCGATTGTGGAAAGTGAAAGACACAATGAAATATAATACTGTGACGCTATATAAATATAAGTGGGTTATAGCTAATAAATATATGATTATGTAATAACATGTAAGTGTTTTACTTTCCTCAAAATATCTAGATTTATGGCTATTTGATTAGTAATCACTGATATGCTCAGTCATAAGCAAACTTCTGTTGAACTCTCAATTGCATTGTAATTACTCATACGCCAGGGAGATCCCAAAGGCGGATCTTAACAAAAAGCCGGTAGTATAAAGTAAAATAATGTGGATTTGGGTATGCAAATCCCAGCTGCTATTAGTATGCTATTAATACTGTACTAAAATATAATGCGGGTGCTATTGTCCCAAATAAACTGAAAGACACTGGAACAAATATAGGATTTATGACAAAACGTGTTGTTTCCATATATGACACATCAAAAAGTTGCGTCACGCAATGCATTAATTATTTAAAGGAAAATTGCCTAAAGTATTTTCTCAAGAAGTCGACTGGTTAACAAAGCGTTGGGTTTTATTAAAAAATTAGCAATAATTATAAATTAGTGGCGCTGAATACCACAAAATAGTAACAAGTTCACTAAAGACCTGCCAAGCCGCAATCAATATTAATTTCTTACAAACAGTCTGGTACAAAGGGCAGTCTTTGACTTACCTTTCACTACTTTCGTAAGTACTCTTATAGTTGTGTTGAAATACTCACACATATACAGGTAACTATGTGGGCGCGTATGTGTGATGTGGCATTGATAAATGAAGCCAACTCGTTTCGAGACATGTATCGTCGCTTATGCGGTCGCGCATTGCAGTTATTTATATCTCTTTAGTTCTGTTTTATTTCGTATCTTATAGTGGCGCGCTCTTACTCACAACAAAGTAAGACTATTTTTGGGCTTAAACAAATGATACATAGCGTCACGGTAACAACAAACGTCTTCGGTTAACTGTAAAAAGGAAGTACAATGTTAACAAGAGATAATGCAGGATTCGCTTGACGAGAAATTTTAAGGAAAAAAATGTATATATGAGAGGACAATACATCACCTACAATACATTATTTATGAGCACATATATAATATGCAAGAGTGACGGAAAAATTACTATTGAATATAAGTCTTAACTTTTCCTTATTATATACCATTTTTGCATTCGCTTGATATCAACCAAAATAATATAGAAAATGTCGCACATTAGTATTTATAGACGTAGTTGTATATTCTATAAATATATGCGAGTACTCAATAATAGAACGAGCGGCATTACTCGTTAGTTGCGCCCATAAATTATGCAATTGCTTGTAAGAAAATCAAGTCAAAACGCTGCTGTGCTGATGGCTTCTCTTTGCTCGTGCTTTTCACTTCGCAATTCGTTGAGGTAGTTAAACGTATAGTATTTTGCTATGATATTGATTATATTCCGTTAACTTAATGCCGTTCTTAATACGTTATATGACATATTTGCATAACATTAAATTGGAGCTTCAGGACAAAAATTAGAAGAAATCAATATTGTAATGCTTTCTAGCGGTCCTTTTCTGGATTTTTGAACTTTTGATTTTTGAAAAGAACTGACATAAACAAAATCGCATCAAAGTGATAAAAAAATACTAAAATTTTCATACCTTAGATATAAAAATACCAAAAAGTACTTGGCCTATAGAAAATATGCACGCTGAACTTTTTTTAGACTAAATATTTCGACCACACTTCAACTTGTGATTGTTTTCTCCTTATCCTGGTAGCCATATATCCAAGTGGCGAGCACATTGAATCAATGGCGCCAAGCTATATCCTGGAATTTATCAGTGTGCTGTGCCTATTTGAGTCGTTATGAGAGATGGGAGTAAGAGGGCACAATAGACCAGCGCTAGCAGTGTATGCCTTAACATAAGGCATAGGCACGAACACAATCAAACGACCCTTTTGAAACGACGTGCATTTAGTGTGTGACAAAGCGAATCAACGATCAAAGTATCAAGCTTTCAATCATGTACTTTCACAGAAAAACACCTGCAGTTGCTGTTTTATTCTACAACTCTTACATTTTTCTACACCTAAAAATCATTCGTATATCCCAAATACTCAAAAAAATTAAGTAAAATTGAAATTTCCATAATACCAATGGAATTGCTGGAAAGCGAAATTGCTTGTCAGCGGCAATTTCATTACCGGCCAACAAAATCTTAAACTCGGTGTGTATTTATCGTAAATTGTACCAGAGCTTATCTCTCACATATAAGCATGTGTGCAACGTTTAACTCAGAGCTAGCTTTGTAAGCTACTTATGTATTGCAAGCGATTACCCAAATTTGGCAAATCGGCAAATGGCAACTTTACAAAATTTCCAATTCACTCAACAAGAACACATCTGCAAATTGCCAACACGCAGTAAACGCTTATAATACTGAGACTGGATAAAAATGCTTTACGAAAAGGTCGTAGCAAAAAACAAAAAAATATTAGAGTTACCAAGCAATAAGCATGGGAAAAGGGAAAAGGGGAAAGCAAAAAAAATGAAAATATAACAATGTAAATAAACAATCATGCCGAAAAGTGAACAAACAAGCAAAATGACAAATGTCAAGCGGAAAGCCAGCAGAGCAACCCTGATACTCCAGATGCATATGTGAGCGTGAATGCGAGTTGCTCAAAAACGCAGCAGGTGTGCCACACACTATATACTGTTATTCTATGCATATACATATATATATATACTTTAGTATATATATATCATACCACCTGCTTACATCAGCTGCTCTCACATATAAGCATGTACCTTCAGTCTTGTGTTTATGTGTGTAGCTGTATGTGTAGTTTTCGCATTTCTTCACGTGCTCACGTTTTTCACTTTCTCTCAATAACATATTTTATTTTCCGTTAATATTTCGTGTTCTTTGTTATTGTGACCCCAGCAAGTTATCCTATTTGCGTTGCCATTTCGCTTGTTCGCCATGTCTGCATATGAAAATTGAATTTGTTGCACAAACCCTTTCAACTGTCACGCAGCTCGCTGTCAGAGGCATGAGCAGACGCTCTATCATGGCAGGTTTTCTAAAATCTGACTATATTTGTTTGTCATATTGTTTGTTTATATTTATATTCATGTGTTTAGATTCACACCTCAAGGTAACTTTAAGAGGAATTCCATTTGTTCGCAAAGCTATCGCATGTGTTGTTTTGTAATTTCACTTCCAGTTAACCAGATATGGATGTAACTTTTGACATGGAAAACTCTGCGAGAGAGTGTTGTTTAAAACATAAAGAAATTCGCTTTTCATTTGTGCGCAATTTTCCTTCATTAATAAATTATTTGCAATCAGATATGTCTTTCCATGCTTGACTAACCAGGCAAGGATAATTTTTCAGCCTTCTGTTGTCCATTTATAATTTGTGACGACGATATACGAGTGTACGACGACACTCGTGCATATGTACATACATACATATGTACTTGTATTTTATTCCTATTTTTGGATTCGTACACAAGCATTTCTCAACCCAAGTTCACTAGTTTTAAAAGCAAAAAAAAAAGAAAAGAGAAACATGAAGAAAGTGGCAGTAAAGGGTTTAAGTTAATGAAGCTTTTGAGATATTTGTATGACCTTCCTAAAACATAATTGAATATTTGCACTTCCGTCAGAAAAGTAGTGTCGAACACGGCAGATAAATATAGAACGCATTAACTAATTTTTCGTCAAAAAATCGCAGCAATTCAGAAAGGTACTTTTAGATTTTTCGGAAATTAATTGACAAATGGAAAAATATAACGATAACCTTTTCTCACGCAGAAAACAATGTAGATATTTTTACAAAATATCACACTAACCGTTCAACACTTTGAATAAGCAAACCACAGCACATGTGATCAACTAGTACCCAATATTGTAACTACCACAGACTAATTTTATATTTAATAGAAAAATTATGACGAATTGGCTTAAAAGTATATGCGCCGAAAAGTATGCAGGCTTATTATATCAATGTAACTATTATTCCTAAATATTTGGTTACTTTTCGCAATCCTTGGAAATAACACAAATAATAAGCACGTCACTAAATCTTAATTAGTACTGAAAAAAAACTGTGATCAACCTGTCAAACGACCTAGCGAGGAAAAACTGTAAAATATAGTTTGTAGTCGTATTATTCTTTGCTGGTGCCCATCTTTGACGCGTTTTCAAACAATATTACAGCAAAAACTAAATTTACTATTTGAAAAATAATGGATTTTTTTTTTACTAGACTCTATATCAATTTTGCTATGCCAAACTATTGACGAGACACCCACGTGTGTGCGTCTTTGATAAAAAACGCACAAATGTAGAATGATGTTAAATACCATTTTCACTAAGCTAAAGTATTGACCGTTAGGTAAGGGTTTCCTTTTTATGTAATCCACATTTAAATAGGGCAGGGTAATAGGAATAGGTTTAGTCAAAGGAATATTAGCGATTCACGGCAATAAATAAGTTTAATGTAAATATCTCACAAACCACCAAAGCTATATAAACCAAGCTTACTGAAGACAAATCCTTCTGGAAAATTTCATCTACAATATGAAAATGAATCGTATGACAACTATGTCCCATCTATAGACCATAGGTCGCGGTGCATACCTCGAAATTAATCTATCTATGGCCCATCTAACGGTTAAGTTCACAACTACTTAAAGTGCGCCAATTCATTAAATAAATAGAAACAGAAGCACTAAATTTTGCAACCAGGATGGTACGTGTGACGTTCAAATCATTGTAAAAATTATACAATGGGTGCAACTCCGCCTACCGTTGATGAATCCCATATCTCAGAAACTACGCAACCGATATCAACCAAGTATGCTGCATTATATTATCCTAGTATTCTAATCTGGCACTGCGATGAAATTGCATTCCAACCAAACATACTTCTCATTTAGCATAATTTTAAATTCCATATAGGCCCTTCACTTTTCAGCAAAAAAACCAAGTACAAACGAAAATATCGAACTACGTCGAATAATGTATTGTGAATTTTTACATGATTTTTTTTTAATTTATATAAAGTTTTGTCAACACCTGACGGTACGTTCCCGACTTTGATCTTTCAAAAGTACGAGTGTATAAAATATTAGGTTACACCCGAACATAGATCTTCCTTACTTGTTTTTCATACCATTTACAAAAAAAAACACATAATTCACCTTTTTAAGTAATATAATAAAAATGCAATAAACAAAATATTTCGGCAATAAAAGCAATTACCAAATTATTTATTTTGTGAAACCACAAAAGCAACAGCCGAATATTCTACTCAAAGCATTTCATGACTAGCATTATTATGAATAATTGAAGTTCAATGTTCAAATCAAAACTCGCATACGCAACCACCAAAAGTATGCAATCATTAACGACCACACACTCCTACACACATATACAATATATATATATATGGTGTATAAATTCAAAAGTTTTTGAATTCAAATTATCAGATTGCATATTATAATCGAATTATATAAGCACTTGCATGCGCATAACATATGAAAACACAAAGTCATAAAGCGAGCAGAGATTGCCATATTTCCATGTTAAACATAATCATTGACACTGTAATTAAAATATGCTAATATTTATGGCTTGCGGTATTTTCGCAATTCAAACGTTCGCAATGAATTTTTAATAATACTTAACAAGCCACAGAGCGCCAATAATATATATATCATTAGAGCATATGATAGGACACATGCCCTTGAACAAATGCAAACACGAGAGTAGCATGTGGCAAATGCTGTTATGCTTTTAATTGTTCCACAAATTAATGTTTATTAAAAAATTAGTGATTGGCAGGCTGATTGAACGCCACCGAAGGCCGAAGGGGTTAAAAGTGAGATTTTTGGTAATTATGTGTCGCATAATTTTAATTAGCGCTGAAATTTATGCTTCCCATTGTGGGCATACAACAGGGTGCTT